TCTGGCTGAACCACTGGCATACCCTACAGTCTTGGGAGCCTCCTCACTTTCTCTGTAACAAAGGAGTCTTCCACAGGGCAGGAGAGGATAATAGCATTGGCTTAGCGACTCCTCAGGAGCTTTGGGAAGCATAATTAATTAACATTCATACTCTGGAGACATAAAGAACTATTTAAGAATAAATCTTAATTATCATGGTTATTATGAGTCTATAGCCGAACTACACTCTTCTCTTTATTTAAGGAAGCAAAGCAGGTAGAACTTTCTTTCTTTTCACTCCCAGGGCAAGAAAAAGGTCCTGACAAATAGCCAAAAGCAAGTAGCAGGGGCTTTATATTTTCTTAATGTGCAACACTTGGAGAAATTTCCTCTCCCTACATTCTTTGGCCTAAGAACACCACATCTAAATCTGCCAGGTTGAGGGCAATTCAAAGTGCTGCAGAGAGCTCTAGTTCACCCAGACGTCATGAATCTTTTGATAAAACGGCACGAATGAGAAGCTGTGGGGAAAACTCTTTCCAATATTTATAGTTTGTTCCTGACGCACATTTTGCATAGGAGACAGCTGCTCCTGAATGAGGAAGCATAAGTCACTAACTCCCACTGCTTGTGTGAATGAGCATTCTTGGGCTGTGACTGTCTTCCTGAATGAGTGGGCCACTGAGACGCTCTTTATGTACTGCCTAAAGAATGGCGAGCTTTAAAACATGGGTATTTTGTCATCTAGTGCTCTGGCTCGGTTTGTCCCAAGCCTAAGAGTTAATCACTTGGGTAAAGATTTCAGAGGATCTACTCAATCAACACAGTGACGTTTACAGAAATGGATGACTGAAAATTCTCGAAACTTGTGCTATCTGATCAGAAGATGCCAGCAAAGGCTCCAAGTGTCTTCCTCATGACACTCACAAGCAATCTGTCTGCCATAAACTTCTGCTTCAAATTCTGCTTAACAAGCACCCCTTCACCACCACTTCTAATCCCCATTCAGTCTCCACGCAGTCTTGTGTTCGCAAGGGGACTTTTCTATGTAAGATTGAATTCCACTAACAGCCACACAGAGGATCAATTACATCTTAGACAAGTCTTATTTTTGGCCCGTAAGCTAAATAGGATATGACAGGATCTTTGGGGAATCCTCAGATAACCCTGCACTTTCTCTGTGGGGCCCAGCACTCCTGGCCCTCACATCAAGTCCAGAGTTTTGGTTTCTAACTCAGATGGGACATGCTAGTTCTCAAATTGAGATTTTGTTGTCTGCAACCTAAAGTGACCAAAGGATTGTCTGTTACTCAACAAGGAGCAGAAAAATCTTCCTCAGATCAGAGCTCTCATCCAGACCAGTAGCTCTCACCCTTGGTCACACACTGGAGTCACTGGAGATCTTTAAACTGAAAAATGCCAAACCCCAAGCCTCATCCAGGAGCTGCTCAATCAGAACTGCTAGAGGTGAGCCCCAGGAATGTGTGTTATTGAAATAAATAATTAAAACTTCCCCAGTGGATTCTAATGTGTAACAAGGAGTGGACACTACTGTTTCAGAAGCCAGACAAGATTACTCCTAATGAGCCCATTTTAAAGGGACAATGGAAAGCAAAAAGGAAATAAAATATGTTTGATTGGCACAAGTTGCACTCTTCAATGTGCCAAAAAAATTGATATTACTGTTCTCTAGATTTCATCTTAAAGCTTAAAGCTGCATTTTGTGCTTTAAACATAACCCAAAACTGACCAGAACTGAGTTCAGTTCTAAATGTGGGATCCAAAATGACCAATCTAGTGTTTGGAGTCCGGAAAAATCTTTCCTCCCTTTCTCAGTTACTCGCCAGGTTTTCAGTGATTAACAGATGGGAAGGCATTGGCTTCTTATCTGGGGCCCTGCTGACATCTAAAGAGCTGATAACACCTGTCCTTCCTCATTAGCACCCTGGCTGGGGCTGGTGTCAGAGTCTGCAAGATACCAGCACTCTGGAGAGCCACTCTATGGGGCTCTGTACTGCCTGCCTCACATCCTCACACCCTGCAGATGGCACCCCTGCTGGCCTGGCTGAGGTGGCTGGAGGTCTCTCTGCCCCATCCCTTCTCCAAGTGGAAAGCAGAGGGTCTGCCAGCACACCCAGCATCCCCCTACCATGCAGTATTAAAGGCAATCAGGGCTGTCATCACATTCAGTCAGGCCCATCATCTTCTCGAAATAGCTTAAAAACTTTTGGTTTAGGGGCTTTTTATCTGTTTTTATTTGTTTTAATTCCTTTCAACACTCTTCATTCTCTATCGCCAAACAGAGAGTGAATTCCTAAGCAAGGTGACCATCCCTTGGCAATCCCAGTTAGAAGGTGAATGAGGAGCGCACACTCTGGGACAGCAGAGCTGACATTTGAATCCTTCAGGCATACATGTGGGAAAGCTACCAGCTGCCCCATGATCCCAGGCTGCCTGCTTCCTTGTAAGCCAGGAAACTTGCAATGCAACATAACAAGGATCTCATCAAAACAGATAGGAAGGAAAATAGCCAAAACTTCTTATTAAAAAGACTTGTGAGAAACTTCTTCCTCAGTTACTGAATGATGATAGCAGAAATACTGAAGGATGTAAACCCAAACTTGACCTATTGTCCTTAACTTGTAGTGTACCTTTAGATCAGCAGGGAAATTATACATATATATTTGCTATTTGTTTATTTTTCTTTAGTTTTTAAGGGGGATAAGAGGGAAAGGAAGCAATTCTAAGAAAGGTCATTATCAGTATGCTATGGCTACAAATCTCATAAATGCCAGAGATTCTATCACACAAGCCAAGTGAGGTCAATTTCTAATTGGTCACACTGGTTTATGACCCACTAGGGCCATTTATATCCACTATCACCCTGGGCCAAGTCTCTTTCATTTCCACTTTCATTTATTACTCCTTGATAGTTGGCCCTTGAGTAAATACTTAAAGAGAGAAAGAAAAAAAAAAGTCAGTCTTTTCTAAAAGTAGATATTTGTATTTATAAAGACCTGATAAAAACAAATAAATGAACAAGAAGAAGAGGGAAATAAAATTTAGCTTAATTTTTATTTCTGATAAGTAAATGACTGTTTCTTTTAAAGGGAATATTCTTATGCTAGAAAATAATTCTTTCCTATCATAACTAAATTAAATAGAAGTGATCAGTAAAAATGAGGCCACACGGATAAGAGGAGTAAAGCTCTCCCAAACATTAGCACCATAAAGAAATGTTCAAAAGAAAATACATCAAAATCCTAAGTAGAAACTCCTAGTTTCATACTGACAGATGTGTGCATATATCAAAGCACATAAACCACTTCTAAAACTTTCAAATGCCAGCCCTTCACTCTGAATCAAGTTCACCTCCAAAGGTTTCAAAAAGCAGTTGCTAGAAAAATTCAAAGAAAATCTGAAGTTCGGTTAATAGTAATGTACCAATGTCAGTTTCTTAATTTTGACAAATGGGCGGGAATAATGCAAGATGCCAACAATAGTAAAACGGGGTGAAGAGTACCTGGGAACTCTGTACACTTTTGCACATTTTCTGTAAATTTAACATAATTTACAAATAAGAAGTTTATTTAAAAACAAAGGAGAAAGCAGTTGTCTCAAAGCAGAGCCTCTGGATTTAACTACAAAGCTGTATTCCCCCAAACATACAGGAAGAAACATAATAATCTAGAGATTTACTACAGCAAACTTAGCCAACCAGCTAGACTCTCAATTAAGAGTGAGATTTAATGGGAAAGACAACTGCCAAGGGTGTCTGGGTAAGGCATCCAAACAGCGTTCATTTTATATCCTCCTGCAAGGCTGTTTGTAAATCAAACTTACATGATTCAAATCACATTTGGAACACGCTAAGGAAGTTTGTGCATTTAAAAATATGTTTAATAAATAGCAGGGTAATGGGAAGACTTATTGTGTAATGGGAATGATTGCATTCTCACTGACTGTTTGGCAAAGGTGCATGAGTGACCACTGTCCTTGGGCTGCTCTGCCAGCCACACGAGCACACGTTGCCCAAGCAGGCCCTGTCTCACAGCCTCCAGTGCTCCCTTCCCTTGGCCCACCCACGTTTGTGTGGCTCTAGCTCAGGACTATTAAGATGAATTCTATTCACATGCAGGTCCCAATATCCAAACAAAAGCTTCAGCCTCCACAATGGTGTCAGGTATTTTGAGCAACAAGATAAAACAGGCAAGTTCATTTCACAGAACGAGAGTTTCTGACACAGGTAAATGCATGACAAGTGTCCCTGATGTTACTGGAGTTCACATTGAAATTCTCCTGCTGGCCATGGAATGGACTCCTGACCAGTCATCCTTCTCCCAGCCAAACCATTGGTCAGATAGGAACTATTGCCACCCCTAGACAAACGTTTCTGGACCTGATAAAAGCATGCCCAAGCCCAACCCAGGTAAGCATGGCATTCCAGGACACTGGATTCTGGATTCACAGTGGATGAGGGGCTAGAAAATGCATCTTAACTAGTTCATGAGCAAACCAAACACAATTCATCTGCTCACAGTTTTACATGGGTTTTGCCAATGTGGGGACAAAATCTCATTTAACACTTGATATAAGTATAATACATGTATATCAGATTAGTGTTCAAAATTATTTATCTCTCATCACCTCCTTGGGGTGAGTATGAGTTCCTGCCTCTGGCCTCCACTTTGGTGCCAGCATTTGCTTCAGCTGAGGACAGGTAAGCAGAAGAGACCGTGTGCCTGTCCTGACCCTCAGCCCTTAAAAGCCTTGCATATTTCTAGTTGCCTTCTTGCCCTTGGCACTTGCCATAAGAAGCAGATCTCCTGTGTAGCTGCTGCTTCTTCACCCTGCACCCCAGAATAAAGACTGCCCCAGCCAACCTACAGACCAATGAGCAAGACTAAATAATGCTGTTTTAAGCCAGTGGGTTCAGGGTGCTTGTTTGTACACGTGACTTGGTCAACAGCTGACTGACGTACCCTGTTCTCTCCCCAGGTGTGAAAGCACCGAGAACTCACCGTCATCGATTCCAGGCCAGCCCATGAAGTGAGCAGAAATCTGTTTCTCATCCTTCCCATACTCATTCTTGGCTACTAACTTGTAGTCCCCATTGTTCATGTGGGTGGGGTTATCCAGCTGGAGGCAGCCGTGGTATTCCGTATGATTGGTGACATGGATTTTAGTACAGATGTATTTGGACTCATTCAATATTGCCCCATTATAGAACCACTGAAGCGCTGGTTTGGGGTTGCCTTTCACAGTGAATGGAATGCACCAGTGGTGGTCTGAGGTTGGAGATTCGAGAAATGTGATAGTTGGAGCAACTAAATTGAAAGAGAGAGAGTTAATAGCATCAGAAAGCTCAGAATTCTCCCATCTCCACATGTCTGTGTCATCGACAGGGGATTCTATTCAACCATTAATTTGGTTTAAGTAAACACATGACCAGCAACTCTGGAATCCATCAATATTCTGTATCATCATCAAAGTTGATTTAACTCCCTACAGAGAGCTTCAAAGAGACGCCTTTCCCCACTCTGCCTGAGACCAGAGCCTCACGGTCATTTTCAGATCTGTTCAGTGCAAGGACCAGCTCCAAAGAGTTCCCAGAGATTTCTGACAGTGGAAAGAATTCATTTGAAGTCAACTTTGGTTTCTAATATATATGCCCTGAGATTATATTGGTTCATCTCCAAAATACTGAGGGCCACTATTTGTACAACACTTCACTAAATAATATAATGACAAAAAATGACTCTGCAAATCTTGCCTGAAGCCCTGATCTCACAGAATGTATCTAAAATAGATCAAACTGATCAACGCAATGAATGTGGCTACTTATGCTGACTGATTATTACAAAAACTGGTATTTTTCACTTATAGTTGATAGTAAATGCTCTTTAAAAGCATCACATTTCATTGTAGTATAGTCCTTTTTTGCCAGGATTTCAGATATTAATGTTTTGAGCCTTTAATAACTGTCTGGGCCCTTTCTAAACCTGGACAGACAAACTAGAGATTATTTTAACTTTAAAAATAAAGCACTTTTTGCTTGAAGGAAACAAACATTACCAAGAACCACCTTTGAATGGAGCACTTATCCTGAATGTGAAAGTATCTAAAATCCCTCATAATTGTTTATCTTAATGTGGTCCAATTTTGATAGTTACACAGTCAAGGACTGGAAAAGATTAATGAGATTAAATAACATCCTTTATCAGATGAAGAAACCCAGTCCAAAGAGGCTAAGCATTGTGGTCAAGGTTACTGAGCGAGGCAGATCTGGAGCAAGAACCCAGATCCGGTGATGCCCAATCCAGTAAGGCTCCCCTTGCCTTGTTTCCTGGTTGCACACATTCATCAGGCAAAAGAGAAAACAAGTCACAGCCTGCTAACAAATATACTCGGAGTGGGGTCACTGAAAAGGTTATCTCAGTTGTTAAGATTCTTAATCACCCTAGGCCTTCTATTCATTATCTAAACATTGATAGATAAAGTCAGTTCTTTAGACCATGGTGACCACATAGATAGTAACTTGAACTAAGAAAATTTTGAATCTGAGTGTCCTCATTTGTAGGTCTGTTTTACTAACACAAAGACCACAGTGCAACAGGACAGGGCCAACACTTTCCTCCCACCAGTCCAGGCCCCATGCCCAGAACCCACTTATTCCTTCCACCATGTTCAAATAAGCCTGCAGTCAGGGGTTGATTTTAGGACATAAAGTTGGAAGCTGGTTGCATATGTTTGGGGATAACATTGACTTCAGGCTTCCAGGTGGGTCAAAATGATGAGAAATTATGAGTCTAGTACCAACCGGCATAGTGTTAGTACTGACAGTAACAAAGGATTACAGTTGGTGATTGCAGTCCTGGACTCCATTGATTCCATACTGAATGTGTGCTATGAATGAACATTAACCAGCATATCAACACCATGTGTCTACATGTGTGTGATGTGTATTCATATTACACACATGCACACTCCTATTTTTCCTGTCCAAATCCTAATCCAAATAGAGTAAAACCTCATTAATTTATACCATGCCAACCCAGAATTTGCAATAATGTGAATAGTAGATGTGATTTTTACTGAATACACATTCTCACTGAACGCCACAATCTGGAATGTTACGATATGTGCTAATATTCTAATAATGGATAATAGCGCACATATGCTTAATAAGCATTAATATATTAGCTCTTAGTTTGGATGTATACAGAAACACTTATAATGAACACACTTACAATGAGAGTTTTCTGCATGATAATAATTTTCAATAATTTAAGGATTGCTCCACTTAATTTTAGGTAGCGCCACTTTAAGGCTTCATATTGCCTTTATAGAGAAAAAAATTTTTACAAACTCGTTTATCAGAACTTAAAACTCTTTAGCAGGAGGAGAATAACCTCAGTCAAAATACGTTCTATCAAAAAAGGGGGAAGGCCCAGAAGACAAGCAGAAGACCAAAAAGAAGCTTAAGAAGGACAATGCAAGAGCAAGGGAGACTAGCAGAAACAGAACAAGTGGAAGAGGCTGATGACGTTTCTTAATTAAGTAGGCACAAAACACTGCATATACTTTTTCACACACTTAAGCAGCCCCCAGAGAGCCCCAACCACAACTGTAGGTGTGTCCATGATCATTTGCTTTTAAAAACACATGCCGGTCTGATTACGTACAATGTACAGTGAGGTTGACAGAATCTTGATCTTCTCCTACAAGATTTTCTGCCACACAAGAGATTTGCTTTCCACTGTCATCAGATGAAATGTTAGTTATCCTTAAGGAGCCCTGTGTGTGGCTTGTTTCATTCTACAAATGAATTAACAGACAAAAATAATCTTTATTAGGACTGATCCCAAAGTGAGAAATCTGGGAGTTCTTTTCCCCTAACTAGAGAAAAAAATATGTAACATTAGAAAAGGTTTCTGACCTGCACTGGGCTCAGACAAAGGAGTAAATCAGATATTATTCTATTCCTCTAGACATACTTGTTTAATGTGTGAAATTAATTCAATCCTTGAATTCCTACCTACCTTTCTTCAAGGGAAAAGACTGCAAGGAAAGTCTCTCACCTTGCTCATGATGACACACAAGCAGACCCTCCAATCTATTGGGTATGCATAACTAAAATGCAAACCTGCATTAGTCTTTGTTTATTAAGAATAAATAGAAAGCAAATGTACATCAAAAACATCATAAATTTCTCTATGTGGCTCTATAAAAATTGAAACAATCATAAACTAGGTTAATAAATCTCAAGTTCTGAGACACTCTCATCTCACTATGAGCAGAGTTAAACACGAGCCTTACCATATGTTTGGAAACCAGATTACCAACATCCCAGTACAAATTCGGAACTGGATCACCCACAACAAGGCAAGATAATGTGATAGACTTTCCTTCCTCCACAGTGAGGTTCGGTGCAGCCAAATTTGCTGATGGCAGACCTGTCAAACAAGAATAGTAAATGGAGATGTACACAAGTAGTTAAATGCATTATCAAAATAACAGCAGAACATTGAAAACTTTATACTTAAAAATCTGTAATTATTTACTTCTTGGGACTGATTTATGTTGATCTAAAAAAGTAGCAGGTTGATAAGCTGTACAGATTTAATATGAATCACAAAATGTGCGGGAATAAGATCTGCAAACACATTTTTCATGTTTCTTAGAAATATTATTGTAGAATAACCTTTTCTTTAAAAAGAAGACACTAGTTTATAAAACTATGTTTTCTACCTTTCTTTCTGTTCTACAGTTACTAGTTCCATTTTTTGCATATAAGTAGGCATTGTAGCTACAGATCACCTTATCTTGTTTACTCCCACACCCTCCACAGCAATTCCCTCCACTTTTTTATAATCAAGAACAAAAGGGTGAGAGACATCTACATTCTACATTTTTTTGCATAAATTCATTTTCTGCATTAAGTAACACATAACTATATAACCCACTACCAGACTTAGATTTTGAAAGTCAGACCACTGGAGAAAATATCATTTGAAAGCATTTTTCAAAGATGTGAAACTTGACCATCACAGCATTAGAATGTTGCAAAGCTATACAAATCATAGTTAAATTTCACGGGTACAGTTGGTTATCTTGTTCACAATATGATGAAAAGAGAAATACTGATCCTTATTGTAATGAAAACTTCTTTTTTGAAAACACCCTGAGAAAGTATTTGTTAGCAGAGAAAATCTTAAACCTTATAAATATTTTTTAAATATTTCAGGAGAAGACTGTTTTTATACTTTTACATTTTGAAAACTAGCTTTTCTTTATTGATGCTACTATCACTTTGTTAAATGATCAACACTATGGGGTATTTACATTGCTTTAAACCGCATGTGAATCACAGTATTTTTATATGAAGGTGGATCACAATATGGCAGATACTATAGTCAAGCTAACCCCTCGCTTGGTACCACAAACTCTTCTAGGAACTGCATTTACCCTGACAGCTGTGCACATGGGCCTATGATATGTCATTAACTCAGGAGTAATGTGGAGGTGAGAAAAAGCCATTTCATCTTCAACAACCATTAAATTGCAATTAACCATCCACCTAGTGAGATCTGACCCACCATCTCACAATACTATGCATAAACTCTTCTCTTATGACACAGTCCTTACTGACAAAGCCATTATTCTTTATTACTAAAACCAGACTGGAGCAAGATTTACGCAGTGTATGCCTCATGGTATTTCCACCATTGCCAGAGGACTTGCCAACAAGATCTGGCTTTCAGTGGCTGGTGTGACCTCTTCAGAACTCTTTTGTCCTATTCGATAGAGTCCAACAGAAAGCAATAATATCTTTCAAGGGGTTTCAGAGACGCCTATAAAACTGAGTTAAACAGTGCAGTGCTACATATACAAGTGATCAAGAGGCAGTGCAGTTAACAGGAATGGGCACTGGGTTAGGAGTCAGGAACCCTACATCTAACCATGGCTGCCGCCCTGTGGCCTTGAGCAGTCATTTCTCTTCTCTCAATGTATTTTGTTCTCTATAAAATTACACTGTTCAATTAGAAGATATGGCCCTAATTTCTTCTAGTTCTAATCTTCAGTGACAATTTCTTTGATAATTAAGCTTCCCAATTTATTAAGAAGTATGTCATGACAAGAAAAGAGAAAGTGGCTTGCATAATGAAAAAAATTCTCTCCTGAAGTCAGTGGTGTGATCTCAGTGAGTTTTTTAAATATAATTTAATTTTGTTTTGTTTTTCAATCAGAATATACAGTCACATAGTTTGAAGAATCTATAATTCTACAAAATTTATGAAAAATATTGAAACCATTGTGTGAAAACATTTTCGGGATATTGATCTCTATATCACTAAATATCATGTTTATATTGATTTTCCTATTTTAATATTATCTATTGACCTCTAAGCATGGAAGATGAGAACTAGGCACACGGAAGGCTAATGTCCCCTACCTGTCCATGCCACACTCAACTACTCTGTCTTCAAATCTTTCCATATGTAATGAAGTGGGTTGTCTAGTTATAAAGGTTATTGCATGTATACAAGCCCTACTGACAGCTGGACCATCTTATATAATAGTTATATTTCATTGAATTTAAGGCAGCATCGATTATAGCTTCAACATTGTGATCTATACCACTAAGGGAAAAAAAAATGATGCCAATTCAATTAGGATGCAATGCTTTTTCACTGCCTTGATCTCCTATTATTTGGTTGTTGGACATTGTGGATAGCCCATATAAGTTTTAATCCTTTCTCCCTTATTTTCTACCTTTTTGTCTATTTGCTCTATTTATAGCAAGATTTCCTCAGATTTACCTCTCAAACCTTCCTTTGAGGTTTTCATTCCCTGTCATATTTTTAGTGTCCAAGGCTCTGTTTTTGTTCCTGAACAGTCTTCTATTTTTATAGCACCCTGTTCTTGTTTCATGGTTGTAATATATCTTCTGTCTGTATGAAATATGAGTAGTAATTACTTTTGAATTTTCTTTCTCTCCACATCATTTTGTCCCATGCAACTTTTTTTCTTTCTCTCTTTGGTGTCTTTGTGTTTGTCTTTCATATTATAAGCTTTTCTCAAACAGTTGGTGATCTCTAGCTGTCCACATATCCTTAAGAATGAGGTATTAGAAACACTGTACATTTAAATGTCAGCTTCACTTAATGGCATTATTATTGGCCTCTTTACTGGGTACCACTTGTTGGTATTAAATCACTTGGGGGAAAGGACTGGTCAAATTATTCAGATGATGCTCTTTGAGTGTCTTGCTTGGAAGAGGAGGGATGGAAATATCAATATTCCATATGTAAATTCATCATTTTCTCTATGGTTTTCACAGCCTCAGAGCAATCTGGAGTTCCCCATGATCACTTTTTTATCCTCTTTAGAGAATAAGCCTCCAGCTTTTTGCTGAGGAGGGAGGGGTACAGTCACCTGGTATGTATGGAATGAAAATGGGATTAACTGCTTCTTAACAGACTTCTAACCACTCTCCTATACCTGGAGTTACCTGTACTCTCATTTCCTCAGCTTTGGAGTAGTTCTGTAATGTAAACCAAGTTTCCCCTTGGCTTTCCCTGCTGCCAACCTAGTAAGCAGTATTTCTTAGCCTTACATCAGTTAACACCCATCCATCTGCTTTCCAGCTTGCAACTTTTTTGTGTTTTGTTGACTCTTCTTCCCTTTTCTTTTATTAACAGATTTATCTGCTGATTCTGGAGGGACCATGGAGCCAGGGCCTGCACCATGGTGCTTGTTCTTAAAGTATGAACTCCTCTACCAGCCAGATTCCACCAATGGGGCTTGGAGATACCCCTCTTGGCACCTATGGGTTCTGAACCTTTCATAAATGTAGTTTGGAAACTCTAAGTAGAAAAAAAAAAACTCAGGAAATAATGTTATGCTACAATCTTAAATTCCCCTAGAAAATCTAATGTAGTTTTTTTTCCCTTTAAGCCTAAATTTATATGATTACCAATTCTAAATTTGTTTGTTTAATTATAGCAATAGTAATAGCATTTATTGGGCATTCACTGAAATGGAAACCCTTGTCTAGTACTTTAAATTATTGTTTTATTTAATCAGTACAACCAATCATGAAGTTAAGAATTTGTCCTCATTTAATTAATGAAGAATATATGAGTTTTGAAAAAGATAAATACATCCTCAAAAAGTGCCCCAATACCTGTAGACCTGGGCTTTGATTACAAAGCTCAAGGTCTTTACCACTACACTACAACTACCTTCTCAGACTGCATGTATCCATTTAGCATGGGCCATAAATATCAACATATATCCATAACCTAGGAATTTGATTCATTTAAAAAATAATTACATGTCTCTTTGTGAGGGAAGAGAGAGTCTCTTTTATTTACAGAGAAATTGTATCACCCTGTCATAGCACTTTTCAAGGGAATCTGTGCAAAATTGGCCAAGTCTAGATCTTTTTAAATGTAAAGTCTTCCACAAATGAGTAAGCATCTGACTCACGTTAATTCTACAGCGTTAATATGCTGGCCAAAGATTCAATAATGGAAAAAACAATCTGTACTTGAAATATCACTTGAGGTTTAATTAGCACAATAAAAATGAATTGGGAGGCATGAATAGCCAAGGCAGGATAAACCATTTGCCAGGCACTACTTCCTGGCTTAATAAGATTTGAAATCGGCACAAGTACAAAGCTCAGCACTGCTTCCAAGAGCTTCCAGCACTACTGTAATGGGATCCTGATTTAAGCTTCAGAGCTGTCTTCTTTTGCACTCTGAGAAACCGAGCTGGGGATAACAGATGACCAGCTACACAGGCAGGCAGACACCTCTGTGTTCTGTCTCCTGGTCTAAGTATATTCAGAAAGGACATGTCAACCTGTAGACCGCGGCAAAAAAGTCACTGACCACACAGTGAAAAAGCTGACTTTCTTTACAGCCTCCCAGGATTTTAATGTGTATATGAATCACCAACAGATCTTGTTAAAAATGTTGCTCCTTTTCACTAAGTCTGGGTTAGGGCCTCAGCGTCCACATTTCCAACAAATCCCTTGTCCCACAAGACCACACTTTGAGTAGCAAGGGTTTAAACAACAGGTGTTTGTTGGACAACTGTTCACCAGATTTTTGTTTGTACAGCTATTATTCTTAAACTTCACAGGGGCCTGAGCAACCATCTAGTCCATCAGACTTTTCCCAAAGTGTATTCTGTGGAACTCTAATGTCCTGAGATGCTCTGTCGTAGGAAAAAAAAAATTAACATTAAAAAAATACCTTATCGGAAAAATTCTGTACTCTGGACATTCACTATGCACATTACCATATTAAAGGTTTCAGAAGTCCTGCTTTAAAGGAACCATTTAACTTCCATTGATCTTATATTCCCCATGTTTACTTGAGTCCACTCCATTTCTTTGTGATATCTTGTTATTTTAATTTGAAGTAACTTGGTAAAATGCAAA